CCAAATCACCTTTCGAAAGCTACAAGTCAAAACGAATTTCGTATTTCGCCAATTTAATTTTTTCCTCGGTTTCAGGGCACAAAGCGCTTTAAAAACATGTCTGCGTTTTGGCATATTCAATTGTGTAAAAAGTTACAGAACATTTTCGAAATAGGATTAAAAAAAATGTAGAGTGATTGTACAAAAATCACTCTCGAAGAAAAAGTATTTCGAAATTAACAATTCCCAGACACACTGTTGTAGTTTATATGTTAAACTAGCTGCTGTCCAAATTTGAGGGCAATTGAACAAATTCCCTTTGAGTTATAACTCTTTAAATTGTCTGCTGCAAGTGAGAAAATTTATTCGAGAAAACAGTGCTAGGAAAAATCTTCTGCTTCGCAAACAAACTCCGCGCACAAATGCCTTCAACTGGGTTCTCAGATAACTGAGCCAATCAGTGCATGGAAAGTTTACCACCTTTAACCTCCTGGTGAAATTTACGTGCGAATCTCTAAAAAACCCCTGTGTTTCGCAATGCGCTGACGGCGCCGAAGGGGGAAAGATAATTTTTCTGTAGCTCGGTTTTTCTTGAAGCTGGTCTGGCATACGAACGCTAGAGTGGCTGAGCGAAGGAAACAAACAAAAGAAAGTGCGGGGAGCAACTGTGTGTGGTCAACTCTGTATGGATAATATTTCAAATGGTCTCAATGAGTCCGACGATTCGTCGATATCGGACTCATCAGAAGAGTCTCTGTCAACATCCCTGTTATTGCTGTCAAGTTCCGAAATTTTTACAGAACCTTTCTTTTCTCTTACTACGAATATTTTGCCCCCCTTAGACGATAGCTATAGCTTCATCCACGTGGCGAACTTTCACTTCACTCATTGATCTATTTTCATTCATTCGTCGCTGCTTTCGCTTTTTCGAACTAGTCCATGTTTTTAATGTGGTCTGTGTTTACTTATAACTTAATAGAGTTACACCTAATACCAAAAATGGTGGGTAGTCAGAACAACAATGCTGAACAACTGAGTAGTCAATTCGTGACATCGATACAGGTTATTCCCGTGAAAATCGTCTCGGTTGATTGCATAGGCTCCATAGGGCTATCAATCAAAAGGTAAACTTTTACTTTCGGCGAAAATGTAAAACCGCTATTTCTCCGCCAATATTTAGCCTCAAAAATTTTTCTCAGAAATTAGAGATTATTCCTCGACCACTACTTTGACCCAAAACTCCAAATTTGAAGAAAATTGCCGACCCGAAGGTATACTGTAATCTTAATCAATTATTGCTTGAGCTTGTATACATTTACAGTACCATTACTATATTACAAATGCACTAACGTATTAATAAATGGCACAGCAGTGCTTGTCAAGTAAATGTTCTCAGTCATATAATAATCTGGAAAACAATTTGACCTACAACTTGTACAAAAAGAAAAATAATTTTAGCAGTGGGTTAGTGACAGTATGATATATAGATTTAGCCAAGCTTAAAAGCGGAGCTCCTAGGCCGTGTTTTTCAAAGCCTGATTAAGCTAACCCAGGATAAGGCAAAATTTTGATTTGAGTTTTGTAACTTTGCAGTGAGGTTTTCTGTTTTTATCACATACAGGGCAAAATTACTGAAAGCTGATTGGCTGAGACCGAGGGTATTTTTTCTTAAATCACAAGGGCACTTTTGGTAATCACTTTTGGTTACTTGATGCTGATTGGCTGAGCTCGCCTGCATTAAGTTGGTTTCAAACGGATTGTCACGGAATGTCAGAAATGTCAGAAACGTATCGCTTCTGAGTTTGACCTAAACGTGGTTATTTCATCTTAATGTGAAAGAAAATTGACACGCAGCAAAGTGCAGTCTTTTGGTGGAAAAGCAAAGGATTTTTCCATCCAAAAATGCATTGATTCGCAGCCTGCAAAAACTTTGCGTTGAGACGGCTGGTGTTGCAAGAAGCATAGAGTTACAGAACTTCATGGCTGCCAAACTGAAAGTTAATTTCTCCGTTTTGCTGCGGGTCGCCTTATTAGTATCACAGGTCACCTTATTGGCGTAAAAAAGAGTGTAAATTTTGTTGGTACGTTAAGTTTTTACAGTGGAAAGGATTCTAGAAGTTATTAGTATCACCCAACTAGTGGACTAATGCAAATCCTGCATTTTAATTGGCTACGCTACTAGAGGACTATTAGTAATAGTCCTCGAGTAGCGAAATTGGCGCAATCGAGCGTGACGCTTTCTTTCGTTTTATTCCCAAATAAATATTTCTTCAACTTGCATTTGCTAACTTTATTATTGCCTTTTCTGTCCGACTAGTTGGGTGATACGAAAACAATTAGACCCTTCGCCCTCAAGGGCCACGGGTCAATAGCCCATGAGGCTTCACCTCATGGGCTATTGACCTGTAGCCCTTGCAGGCTACGGGTCTAATTGTTAATTAGAGCTCGTTTGGACACTTGTTTATGTCTTTCATCGACCGGAGTAGTTTCACCCCATTGCAAGCTTTGCAAAGCAGATTGAAAACAAAATTAGCTTGCTTAAAGTTTTATTTGTTAAGAAATTGCTTTGAGTGAATGTAACTTGCTGTGTTTTGCTTACTACTATAGTAGGCTTTTCCTTTCTACTGCTAGCCTGTTCTTTGATGACAACTGGCAAACCTGTTTACATGATGGCAAGACCTTGACAGTTTTCCTTTGTACAGAATTTGCCCTTTATGTGATAAACAAGTAATGGCAAGTGCCCTTGTGCAATTAAGGATTAATGTCACTTGTATTTTCAAACTTTTTCAAATTGCCCTCGTCGCTTTGTGACTCAGGCAATTTTGTGAAAACTTTGAAAATACATGTGAAATTAATCCTTAGTTGCCCTCGGGCCCATGCGATCAAATATACATATTGTTAGGCTTTCTGTTTTGAGTTTCAATAATCTCAAACTACACAAAACAAAAGCAGTGAAAAACATTTGTATACCTCCTGAGCAACCTGGCCCTGATTAACAAGTGAACCTAAAATGAGCCCGCAATCCAATTTAAAACCAGTACTTGGTCAGCGGTCAACTTTAAAAAACATGTGACCTCAATGAGCTCTAAACCTGAGCCCACAATATTATCATGTGATACTGGTCAGCAGATACCTTGTTTTGACAGCTGTCAATTGATCATAACATGGATGTCCAATATCAAATATGTTCGCTACGGTACCGATAAGAAGAAACCTAACAGGGAACGCTTGACCGAACGCGTTCTGTTTTCGTTCCACACGCGTTCCCGTTCCCGTTCTGTATCCGTTCCGTATCCGTTCTGTATCCGTTCCGTATCCGTTCTGTATCCGTTCCGTTCCCGTTCTGCATCCGTTCTGTGCTGTTCTGTTCCCGTTCTCTCAGCTTTCCATCGGTAAGCGTTCTTGGAACTCGTTCAAAGGAACGAGGTTTCCGAGAACTCGTTTACAAGATTAGCGACACTCATTTGCATTTCATAACATGGGTTAAAACTGTCGCCTTTATGCGAGAATAGGGACAGTAAACTTAAATTTTCGTGATGAAAATATGAGTCCAGTTACTCGAAAAATACGGGAAGATGGTATTATAACTTCAAGGCCAGTTTATAGTAAGTCTTTTTCCGAAACGATACGAAGCGACCGGCAATCTGTGTGATTGCCCGAGGAAAGGAAGAAGTAAACCAGCTTGCCAAGCACTTTTAACGCCATCGATGAAAAAAAATGCAAGCAAAAGACGAACTTTCGGCTCTTGTATTTACACGAATACTTTTAGTGAGATTTAACATTGAAGTATCGGCGAAAACTGTTCGGCGAATGCGGCAGAAACTTGGCTGGAGGACGGGAGAGGTGCAAAGTACTGACAAAAAGCCGAAGCGAGCATTTTGTGATACTTTTACTGACGTTATTTTCACAGGCGAATTTTCAGTAAAGACTGAACTTTATCCTCGCCGATCCTTCCGCAAAGCTGGTGAACAACACCGTAATAAAGGTCAACCAAGAAGTCGATGGTTTGTTTTGTTTCTCTTCACGAGGAAACCTTTCAATCCCAGTCTAACTCGACTCGTCCATCCATTTCCTTATTTGGACATAAGTTAAGCTTGTTGACAATAACAAAATGGCCGCGATGAACATGAAATGGACAAGAAGATGCAGGGAAGATGCTTGCTTAGTGCGTGTAAAAAGAAATAAAAAAAGACATACGATGATTCGTTCTGTCATTTTCTCAAGATCGCCGGGCTGGACAAAAATTGAACGAACGTGTATTTAAAGTTACATCGTCTCCAAATCTTTGGTAAGCACTCTGATAGCGTAACTTACTACCATGTGTTCTGAAGAACGCGTTCTCTTATAGTTTGCGTTCTGGAGAACGCTTTTTTTTCCATTTTTGTGATTCGTAACCGCTCCGTATGCGTTCCATTTCCGTTTGGTGTCCGTTCTGTATCCGTTCTGTACCCGTTCTGTACCCGTTCTGTTCGCGTTCTCGTACCCGTTCTGTATCCGTTCCGTTCCCGTTCGCAAACGCGTTCCCTGTTAGGTTTCTTCTGATCGGTACTGTAGAAATATATGTACGTCTCTGACCTTTCAGTTTAATACCTTCTACTCCTCTGACTTCTGTTATCTTGTCTACAGCCTACAAAACAATTTAATTTTCTCTTTCAGATGTTTGAGACCATCTTTGATGGTCGCTATATTGTCTTGTTGATGGGACTATTCGCTGTCTATACTGGCCTTATATACAATGACTGCTTTTCCAAGTCGTTCAATATCTTTGGCACTGCATGGGATCTTAGTGTAGATTGGGATGGCATCAGGTATGTAAAGAATGTCTGATAGTTAACTGTTTATAGCAGATCTATATGGGGCTGTCACAAAGTTTTGAAGTAGCTGGCTTCTTGTTGATTGTTGGTGTTACTGCTGGGCTTTTGAATAATCCAGCTGGGTTTCCTGTGCAACAGTATTTGGTCTTGAGCGGAGACCATGAGGGTCACTGAGTTCAAACCTCAGTTCAATCGTTTTTTTTGTTTGTTTGTTTTAATTTTTCTCAATTTGTATCCAGTGGCAGTTTTAGTCGCATTTTTACCAAGGTCTACCTTTGTGATGTTTTATGGAACTGTGAGTTTTCTCACTGCGGGACAAGTGGAATAAAAAAGGAAATTTACTGTAGCTTTTTATGGTGCGTCTCCATAAATTTATGGTAGTTTCCAAAAAGTGGTGAAAATTTTGTGCAGAAGACTCTGTAAAACATACTTCTAGAGCAGAGGGTTACTTCGCTACACATAAAAGTTTTGAAGAATACTTTTAATTACCAATTGATAACTGAGCAATTTTTTTAGTCTTTTGAATAATATTGTTGTTCAATGTTGTTGTTTCAGCAAATCGACCCTTCGCTCGTATGGTAATACATCCAAAGACATCATGCTTGACCCGAAGGAGACCTACCGTGGTGTACCGTACTTCTTTGGTATTGATCCAGTAAGTGCACACGTTAACAGGAGCTCTCAGGAGCCACGTTGTTACAGTCTTTAGAAGTAGAATTCGAATTTGGCTAGTATGTGTTTTATTTCTTCTAGCCTTTTTGGTTGGTGTAAAACTGCTTTTCATATATTGTTAATTGTGATTGAAATCAATCGTGGTATAGGTTAAATTGCGACTATACTATAATGTTGCTGATGTATGTGCAAAAAGTTATCACATGTGTAACATGTTGTTAATATCTGAGGAAAACATTAAAGAAAAACAACAACAACAAAAATAGTTTAAAATTGCAAATACAAGAGCTGAACACAGTGGGAATGACCAAAAAGATAGGTATCTCAAATTTATTTTATTTAACCTCTTCATTAGCAACAGTTAGAGTTTTATTCCAGATCTTTGAGTGCTAGTGAGTGAGGAATGGGAAAAAATATAAATCAATGTACATGCATTTCATTTGAAACTTCTCAACAATAGATTAGTGTTGGGAAAGTATCTGTGAGGATGGGATATTAAAGGAGGACAGATGCAAAAAGGAATGTAAAGCGGGATTGATTTTGTTCCTTTTAATTTTTAATCACTGGGAACGCTGTGAATTGAGAATTTTTCAGTCATTGTTTTAAACATTCTGTTTCCTTCAATTCCAGATATGGCAAGTTACTGTGAACAAACTCACATTCACCAACTCTTTCAAAATGAAGCTTTCTATTGTGTTTGGTGTTATACACATGATGTTTGGTGTTTGCCTGAGTTTCTTCAATCACAGGTAAATATGCTGATTTGGCACGTGGTAGACAGACCACATACCATGTATAGTGACTTATTTCCACTTTGATTTCCATAACATTTAAGTGACAAGAAATTTTGCAACTAACCCTGGTTGAGCTGTGGTAGAAGTGGTTGCCTTGTGGTTAGTGCAGTTGACTTCAAATCAAGCGGTCTGAGTTTGAGCCTGGCCAGGGTCATTGGATTATGTTCTAGAGGAAGCACACGTAACTTTCACACTGCACTGTGATTGGCTACCCAAGCAGGCATGATGGTACCATCTTGCCCGCTCGGGACTACTGCTGGGTCCCGCAAAAAAATTTCCCTGAAAGCCATATAATAAATCCTTTATTGACCAAGCTCGTTCACTCAAGATGGCTAGATATTGGCCTGGTTCTCTTTTTGCGAGTTCATGAACCTCGACTTCGTCTTGGTCCATAAACACACAAAAAGAGAACTTGGACAAAAACCAGTCATCTCGACCACATGCGTGATCAATAACCCATAAATATATGTAAATATATGTAAATATATAACATCTTTGGGAAGATGGTCTAAAAATGATGGCTGATTTGTTTTTTCAGACACTTCAACAAACCCCTGAATATTATTGCAGAATTTATTCCTCAGGTTAGTATAGTTTTAACTAAATTGCAGAAGAGAAGTTTCCTTTATTGCTTGAGCTCAGATTTTTTTACCATTCCATAGAAAATAGAGCCAAACGTATATTTTGACGGCATTGCATCTAACCTTCCTATCACGCACCACACGTATGTCTCATTGATTGTGTATAGTTATGCAATGCCCTCTTTTGGTATACGTCTTTACTGCGGAACATCCTACTTGCCACTTGCATTTTCTTGCTATAAACACCCAGTAAAGGCTCCAGTGTTTACGGTGAAAATACAAGTGACTCGTGGGATATTCGATGGTATACCACTCGAAAGCGTTGCTAACTAGTATATACTGTACATATATTTGAGTATCTAGTATANTTTCTTTCGTTTTATTCCCAAATAAATATTTCTTCAACTTGCATTTGCTAACTTTATTATTGCCTTTTCTGTCCGACTAGTTGGGTGATACGAAAACAATTAGACCCTTCGCCCTCAAGGGCCACGGGTCAATAGCCCATGAGGCTTCACCTCATGGGCTATTGACCTGTAGCCCTTGCAGGCTACGGGTCTAATTGTTAATTAGAGCTCGTTTGGACACTTGTTTATGTCTTTCATCGACCGGAGTAGTTTCACCCCATTGCAAGCTTTGCAAAGCAGATTGAAAACAAAATTAGCTTGCTTAAAGTTTTATTTGTTAAGAAATTGCTTTGAGTGAATGTAACTTGCTGTGTTTTGCTTACTACTATAGTAGGCTTTTCCTTTCTACTGCTAGCCTGTTCTTTGATGACAACTGGCAAACCTGTTTACATGATGGCAAGACCTTGACAGTTTTCCTTTGTACAGAATTTGCCCTTTATGTGATAAACAAGTAATGGCAAGTGCCCTTGTGCAATTAAGGATTAATGTCACTTGTATTTTCAAACTTTTTCAAATTGCCCTCGTCGCTTTGTGACTCAGGCAATTTTGTGAAAACTTTGAAAATACATGTGAAATTAATCCTTAGTTGCCCTCGGGCCCATGCGATCAAATATACATATTGTTAGGCTTTCTGTTTTGAGTTTCAATAATCTCAAACTACACAAAACAAAAGCAGTGAAAAACATTTGTATACCTCCTGAGCAACCTGGCCCTGATTAACAAGTGAACCTAAAATGAGCCCGCAATCCAATTTAAAACCAGTACTTGGTCAGCGGTCAACTTTAAAAAACATGTGACCTCAATGAGCTCTAAACCTGAGCCCACAATATTATCATGTGATACTGGTCAGCAGATACCTTGTTTTGACAGCTGTCAATTGATCATAACATGGATGTCCAATATCAAATATGTTCGCTACGGTACCGATAAGAAGAAACCTAACAGGGAACGCTTGACCGAACGCGTTCTGTTTTCGTTCCACACGCGTTCCCGTTCCCGTTCTGTATCCGTTCCGTATCCGTTCTGTATCCGTTCCGTATCCGTTCTGTATCCGTTCCGTTCCCGTTCTGCATCCGTTCTGTGCTGTTCTGTTCCCGTTCTCTCAGCTTTCCATCGGTAAGCGTTCTTGGAACTCGTTCAAAGGAACGAGGTTTCCGAGAACTCGTTTACAAGATTAGCGACACTCATTTGCATTTCATAACATGGGTTAAAACTGTCGCCTTTATGCGAGAATAGGGACAGTAAACTTAAATTTTCGTGATGAAAATATGAGTCCAGTTACTCGAAAAATACGGGAAGATGGTATTATAACTTCAAGGCCAGTTTATAGTAAGTCTTTTTCCGAAACGATACGAAGCGACCGGCAATCTGTGTGATTGCCCGAGGAAAGGAAGAAGTAAACCAGCTTGCCAAGCACTTTTAACGCCATCGATGAAAAAAAATGCAAGCAAAAGACGAACTTTCGGCTCTTGTATTTACACGAATACTTTTAGTGAGATTTAACATTGAAGTATCGGCGAAAACTGTTCGGCGAATGCGGCAGAAACTTGGCTGGAGGACGGGAGAGGTGCAAAGTACTGACAAAAAGCCGAAGCGAGCATTTTGTGATACTTTTACTGACGTTATTTTCACAGGCGAATTTTCAGTAAAGACTGAACTTTATCCTCGCCGATCCTTCCGCAAAGCTGGTGAACAACACCGTAATAAAGGTCAACCAAGAAGTCGATGGTTTGTTTTGTTTCTCTTCACGAGGAAACCTTTCAATCCCAGTCTAACTCGACTCGTCCATCCATTTCCTTATTTGGACATAAGTTAAGCTTGTTGACAATAACAAAATGGCCGCGATGAACATGAAATGGACAAGAAGATGCAGGGAAGATGCTTGCTTAGTGCGTGTAAAAAGAAATAAAAAAAGACATACGATGATTCGTTCTGTCATTTTCTCAAGATCGCCGGGCTGGACAAAAATTGAACGAACGTGTATTTAAAGTTACATCGTCTCCAAATCTTTGGTAAGCACTCTGATAGCGTAACTTACTACCATGTGTTCTGAAGAACGCGTTCTCTTATAGTTTGCGTTCTGGAGAACGCTTTTTTTTCCATTTTTGTGATTCGTAACCGCTCCGTATGCGTTCCATTTCCGTTTGGTGTCCGTTCTGTATCCGTTCTGTACCCGTTCTGTACCCGTTCCGTTCGCGTTCTCGTACCCGTTCTGTATCCGTTCCGTTCCCGTTCGCAAACGCGTTCCCGCGCGCCTCGGTTGACCTATTTAGCCGCCGTGTTGCGTGACATTGTCGTCGTTAGGCGCATGCGCCCACGATACATGCTGCTAGCCATGTTGACCATCTATTTCTATACATGCATGTGGTTCTGTTCCTATAGTTATGGGGCTCTGTTTGGCGGCCCTTTGGGCCACCAGAGCTCTGCTATGATGAGAAAGTGTTGCATTAATGTTTCTTTTGTGCCTCTTTCAGTATAACTTTAAAAAAAAATTCCACATAAAGAACACTAATTACAATGCAATACTTACATTACCTACATTTAGATATATACAAAATACTCCACTTACATTATGTTGCTTGCATTATGGTACTAACACTACTTTTACAATGCAATATTTGCACTACTTACATTGTTATACTCATAATTTACTTACAATGCGATACTTACATTACCTTCATTAAGGTACTTACCCGGAAAAACTCACTTACATTACATGACGTTACTTACATTATGGTAGTTTAACTTCTCTTACCACACAATATTTACACTACTTACATTGTTATATACTTACGCCACTTACAATACGATACTTTTTTAACAAAGAAAAACAAACAAAAACCCTGCATTTGTATACTTGGTACAGCTAAAAAAAATTACGGATTACTGACTTTCAGTAGAACTTACCATAATTAACTTTATTTGTGCTCTTCTTGTAAGGACCTGTCAAGATACACAGAAACATCAAGTTCTTCAGAAATGAAAGAAAAAAGTATCAATCAAATGGCAAATAGTCGACAAGAAAAAATAACAAGATATAAAGAACAAAAAGAACAGGAAAGACAGCTTAAGGTAAGAGGTGTCTAAGGTCACAAGTCAAGAGAGCTGCAACAGGGCTCAGAGCCACCTTATATTTTTAAATGTCCATTTTGTCGGTATTTTGATGTTGCCATTTTCACATCATACATTTGGTTTTCATTACTTACTTGAAGTTTTACAGTATTAACACCACTGTGCAGTGATGCAGTCTTGCATAGCAGTGTAATCAGAGCTAGTGTGTATATAGACAGGTTGATGGGAGCTGGTCTGGAAAATGACTACACTGAAACACTGTACAAATATAGAAATTTAACTTCGTCTTCGTGGTTTTTACTTCACAAATCTTTGCAAGAGTGGTGATAATTCGGTATGCAATAAAATTGCTTTTGGTGGACTAACAATAAATTTTCAAATGATTGAAAGCTCCACTGACAGAAAGGCCAACGCTACATTTTGGTAAATGGTTTATAACATTGCTTACCCTGCAAGCAGTTGTCCCTTCGATCTTCCTAGGAAAGTCAGGAAGAAGACTCAGGAAGATTGAACGGACCTCTGCTTGCAGGGTAAACATTGCCATTTGTGTAAATAAAAAAGAGAAAGGAAAAACGTCCTGAGGCATTTTAGTGACAAAAACAGCTTCAAAATGTTTGTGGGTTGTATGGTAGAAGACACTGTTAAATTGACCAATCATAGTGTATGTACATGTAGTAAAATTATTAATGGATGTTATACTATTGGTGTCTTCATTTGTTTTTTGAAAATGCAGACATATCAATCTTGCATGTTTAACACAGGTAATTGATAATTATATTTGCAGGAACTAAAAAACATCCTAAAAGAATCATCTACAGGTGATGAAGATGTTCAGGTACTTGAAGTTTTTATATTCGTATTAATGTTTCTATAATTTGATAACTACCAATATTTAAGACATGTTTAAAACTTGCAAAATAATAAATTCGTGTTCTAGAAGAACCTCATTCCTAGTTTCAATAATAAAGGGAGAATACCCAGCCTGTTAGGAGAGGAATTGCTTTAAGTTTAGTCCATGGAATTTTTCAGCCATTTTAGCATGTATGCTTGACTTCATTTTGAAATTTTCAAAAAATTATAGATGTTAATCACCATCATTCCTGTGCTTTGTGGGTTACCTTTGTTGTGAATGTTAAGAAAACTGTCTCAAGAACAGGTTTTTTGTTTGTTTACAGAGGAACTATTATGTTGTTCTGTTGAAGCTGTGGGTGAGTAAGGTTGTGGAGCATCTTACAAGTCTGCAAAGTAAGTTTTGTTTTATGTTGGAAATATGGTGAAACATGTCTTCTACAAATCAGATCATTGTCCTGGATTATTACAGAGTATACATTTTATGTGTACTTTTGTGTATAGTAGGATCAAAAGTTTGGACAAGACATTTCAATCTTGTGTAGCCAGTGTAGCTGGAGGGACTTCACACGAGTGCTTTGTTTTGGTGTGAAGCTGCTCACAGCCGCAAGAAATGATGGCTCCACCATCAAAAATCGCCTGCTCACAAATCCTGCTAGCTACGCAGGTTATTTCAATCTGCACCCAGTGGTAATCCATGATAAATTGGCACTCTATCCAATGAACTGACAAAATTCTTAATGAAATTTTTTTTTCAACATTCTAATAATTTTCAAAGAAAGATTTAAATGTTTATATTTGTTTGAGCTAATTCATTTCTTTCCCAAGAATACAAAAAAATTAATCGCTCTGACTAGCAATAAAATCCGAGTTGCTTGATTCAGATTCAAAATATATGAGCTAACGATTATATAAACAATAACCTCCATTTGGTGAGCTAAATGCTTGGATATTTCTCCGTGGACATGATCTGTTCCGAGATGCGAACAGTTTTCCAAGAGTGTAGCACCAGAAAAACTGTGAGCTTTGAGGAACAGATAATGACCAAGGACAAGTATCTGATCATATTTTTGTGCAAAATGGAGGCCATTGTCTTCATTATCTTTCAAATATTTCTCACAACACATGTGGTTCTGAAAATTGGGGAATATCACCCGGATATTCCCCAGTTTTAGCTGGAGAATTAGCAGTCACGTAACGTGTTTAGACTAATCGTATGCGAGCGCAAATATTTGATGGATTATAAGCTTCGATATGCTACTGCATCTCAATATAACATGCACTGCTGATCTTTTGTCCTTACTTTGGAACATTGTAGGTGAAATGGAAATCCTTGAACACATGAAGGTACTAAAGGGAAAAGGAAACGACCGTAATCAAGAAAACAAGCCCCTTGCTGCTGAGGTTGGAATACTAATTGTGCTCAACTATTTAGCTTTCGCAGATACCTATATTTGAAGTGTGGAGACATGAACTGCAGAGAAAAATGCAAAGACATAAATGATCATCGCAGTCGTGTACACAACTTAAGCAGCTGGTCTCTCATATATTCATATGCATTGCTCACCATTTGTCTTGGTCTTCATATATATTGAGACCTTTTGATTCTGCCATACCAAAGGGCAGACTTGCTAGTCTGGGGGAATCATGACGTGATGTTATTCTTTGTTTTTATTAACATGTATTTCTTTGTTGCACTTATGCAGACTTCTTCTTGCGTAGCAAGACTGTCTGTCCGATTGATTGTTCATTGCTCCACATGTTTTGTTTTAGTCTCAACAGGGCTTCAAACCAATCCTGATAACAAGGGAGATGATTAAGGTATGGAATAGTTTTTCGCAGGCCTTGATGGAAAGGCTAATCACAGGTGTCCCAAGCTCGCAAATGAACGTCCCTATACATACAGTAGTACCCAGGTTACCAGTATACCCTTTAGAGAGGTCAAGAATTGAAGATAAAAGCCACTTAAATTGCCATAAATCAGCCCAGAAACCTCACGGGAAATAGTGAAACACAGAACGGAAGCAAGGTAGATTTATTTTAATCTATACTCCTTCGTATTTTTTAGGCTTGCAATGTAGAATAGTGTTTCCAGCACAAACTTCTTATATTTTGATTGTCCCATTTTAAACCTGAGTACTACTGTATGTACAGTGATGTTCTTTTGCGAGCTTGGGCACCTGTGGGCTAATCTAAATAGAAATCAGACTGTGAATTCTTATTCCTTAATTCTAGTGTTGATAATATAAACGTGGAAAGCATCTTTACCATACTTTGGTATGGATGCCATTGCAGTAAATGTGTCCAGTGTCTGGGAATGGTTAACAGCCTGGCGATCACTTGGTCACTTTTTTTTTATAGAAATTAGGGTAAAGGTGAAGAACAGCCCCCGCCCCCCCAAAAAATGTCTCGACTGTTGCTTTTCTGTCGCTCAACTGTCAGCTGACTGTTTGCAGACAGTCGATGGGCAAGGAACTCTGTCATGTTGCTGTGATGACCTGTGATCACTGCCAAATTAAGCGCTGTCAGTGGAACGATTTATCCATCTTGTCTAAGACCAAGAGAAGATCAAGGCTAGAGATCCCCATATAGGCCTCATACGCCAGGTTATCCCTCTTAAGTTATTTTTAGACATGATACTAAGTTCTTCCGCGGAAGTTACTTGCACATTGCGCGGATGTTTTCGTGGACGATTTGTTTATGTTTTGTTTACATATTGAAGGAAAACCTCCAACGCTGTGGAGGTTAATTTTTCACGTGTAGTGTCAATAGGAGTTTGAATAAGACACAGAAGTCCTCTGCTCAAACAATAAAAACTGGATGAACGGCAAAGAAATGAACAGCCAAGCGAGCACAAAGCATCTGTGCTTTGCAACGTCTTTTGAAAATCAAATCTTATAAAAGAATTTTTCTCCGCATTTCCCACCATTTCGTCTCAGGAAGTTTCGAGAAAGTCGCTTAAGCTGTCCACGCATCGCGCGAGTAACATCCACGGAACAACTGGGTACGAAGTCTAAAAATAACTTAAGAGGGATAACCTTGGGTACAAGGCCTATATGGGGGATTTACTCTCCTACCGTGATCTTCTCTTGTCAAAGCCATCTTGAAGAGGTGCTAACAGACGAATCAGCCAAAGACTGATTTTGCCGCATAATTCGACTAAGCAACGAATTTATGCATCTCAGACGCCTAATTCGTCACAGAAAAATAATTTGTTCTTACTATTATTTTGACCAATCCAAACTTTTCGAGAATTCAAAGAGAGAAACAATCGTAAAAATCCCTGCCAATTAAGATCGGACATCCAAATCGCAGTCCCTGTTATGATTTCCCTGTTGCCTAATTCATCGCAGAATAATTTGCGAAAACACCGTGCGAGTTTACCTTTCACTAATTAGTGTTATAAATTCACTCACTGTTATGGGAACACGCTCGGAGGCCTAGGGGGAATTAGTTGGGGAAGGGCGAAGTTAACACGGTGAAGCAACGAAAGTTACTTGTAAACTTTCATCACTTCTGTTTTTTTTCCTGGGTTTCCGAGAATGTTATAGGAAACGTCCCTTGTACTGTGCATTTTCGAATTTAACAAAAGTTTAACGTTTACTACACGTAATATATGTTGCTTTGTCAGGACAAAGTGTTTGGTGCGGGCTACCCCAGTGTTCCTACCATGTCACAAGAGGAATTCTTAGAAAAGGAAATTCTAGAGGGAAAAGTTGTGTTGGATTATAAAGAGTAAGCTATATCTTCCAGATCTACTTAATACTTCGCATTTCGTCACATGTAGAAAACTTGCTGAATTTGCCGTGAACCACATTGAATGTTGCTTCCTTGGCGTATTGTTGAATTAAGTTATACGTGGAAGATTTGACAGCTTGAATAGTATTTGATGCCTAAATGCGTCATTATTGATGTTTACGTTTAATTCATGAGAGAGATCTTTGCAGTTACTAGTGTGTCCCCTTAGATTTAGACCCGTTTTATTTGTGATGCCAGGCGGGTTATAGAATCAATATTCCTAATTGACCATTTCATTCACATGGATATTACTAACCTTTTAACCAAAAATGTATGAATTCCTTCATTGAGGCAAATTTTGCTAGTTGGAGGCTAAGAATGGTCAGTTGGACCGATTTATGGTGAAAAAGATAGTTTTGGAGAATATTTGTGCTTTTCTGTAATTGACTACTCCAAGTAGCTTCACAACCTCGTTCCCAGACTCTCTCTCCTCTGCCTCCCTCAGGCAGAGGAGAGAAAGCCTGGGAACGAGGTTGGTAGCTTCATTGCTCGCTATGTATTCACAAGAATCATGGACATAAATTCCTAAATATCTCTTTACTTCTTACTAAGTTACTACTTCACTGTAAAGCATTCCTATCACATTAGGTAATTCAACTGTGTTTAGTGCGGTTTTCAATTGAGTATCGTAAAACCCCGACCAGAGTAATCACTCCAGCCAATCACAGAGGACCTAGAATTCACTGAAACAATCAAAACTCCAAACAAAAGGATGCAGCTGACGTGTAGCGTGGGAAACCAGTGGAAGCGAGTAAGGATCGATTTTATTTTTACTTGCGATTGGATGACGAAGTCGTGTGATTTTTACCCTGCGAGCAGGCTCTTGTGCGTGGCGGAACGAGGAAAGGCGAAGGCGCGAGAGATAGTCCCTTACCGGCTCGCTTCCCCCGTCGACCCGTCTCTCGTGGCTTCGCCTTTATTCCTGCCGCTGCACAAAGGGGTCGTTTGGGGGGGTAATACAAAGCAAAGAAAATGCGAATTACCTGTCATTACTTCTTTTCAGTTGTTACGTCCCCTAAAGGAGCCATGGCAAGGAAGGCTCATCATTTACAATAGCAATAGTTGGTATGAGATAGGAATGATCGATTGATACGTGAAGTGGCCATATCCTTTTGTGTTTATCAGATAACTTTTTTAATTCCATTACTTCCAAACACAATAACCACTACTTGAAGTCCTTGAATTTTATCAGTTCTTCTAAGCTCACAACTTCCCATATTTTCGCAGACGAATTCGGGTCAAATGGAAGCTTTGGTTTATATATCCCAAAGGGGAGAGCATATGGTCCCAGGCACAATATAATTAACATGCACTATGATTTCGTACTGTTGAAATTAGGATAGACAAAAGAGACAATAAATGTCTTTTACTGCCACTCTGAGATTGGCTTATAGCCTAGTCCAAAGTGGTAGCCTTCCAAACTTAAGTTACCCAGTCATTTCCCAAACTGAACAATACACAGTTTTATCATATGGCTTGTTCTTGTAGCCGATATAACGCGCGGCCCGATTGGCTAATTGTAGGGCATTATTCTCAAGTATGCCCACGGGCCGATTACAGGCTTGCAAAAACAAAGCAAAAAACGGATTGAAATTGAGATTGACGCGGTTTGAGATTTTCCCGTAAAGGTTAATAAGTAGTTAGTATAAAATCTTACTACAAGCAATGTTCTTATCTTTCGTATTTATTAGTGGACAAAAGCGGAATGAGAAGAAGTCGAGTGATGAAGAGTCCGAAAGTGAGGACGACCCAGATAAACTTCAGAAGAAGAGGGACTGGGATGAGTGGAAAGATGGTAGGCGAAAATTTTGTTTACTATTTACACGGAGTAACCAGATGGATCGGGTCGGGTAGCAGCACTCGTAAGGTCTCGCATGAATGGCTTGTGATACCCTTTGAGAGGACAATAGAACAAACAACAGAAACAATGCCTAACGCCAACCCCAAAACCCCAAAACAATAACAGCTGCTAATAATCAAAAGAGTTACAAGCTTACGAGAGCTGCTACACTTCTGGATGGTTCAGGGTTTTGGGAAATGGTACGCAGAAGCCCAACCTCTGGTTGAGATTTGGTGTGGCCATTTGCAAGAATGTACTCGAACCGCCTGAAACTTAGCGAACCAGCCGCTAGCCTGCGCAAACTTATGTTGTCATCCATGACATCCAATAGCTGTTATTGAAGCTATCAGCGGTTTGACATACAAACGAGGCGAAAGGGTCAATTTCGTTTTCTATTGGCCCTGTCGCCTCGTTTGTATGCCTTTTTAAACAACGGAATATTTGACCGCAGGCTCAACTGCAATAAGAGCTATTTATACGTTTATTCTTTTTGTAGATCATCGTCGTGGTTGGGGTAACAGAGAGAATATGGGCTAGTGTGACAACGGCAGATTGAAGAAAGACCAGCCGTTCAATGCCACGCTATAATGACGGCCATCACGCGTCACGCTTTCCCAGATTGAGAAACTGTTCTAAGAAGAAGAGCTTTTTCACCTACGGATAGGATAAATGTTTTCCCCTCTGTATTATGTGGAGGTGAACTGCGTTGATGTCAGTTAACTGAGAGACTATAGAGCAATGTTATCTAACCCACTGACCTAACACCCGACCTCCCCACCCGTCTGTGTAGGAGACGAATTTTTACCGGAATGACAGCTTGTCCCTCCCACACCCCAGGAGAAATTTTTAAAAATCCCCTCGAGTACAGCAGTTTCTTTGAAAACCAACCTTTTGATCGCAATATCTCTAGGACACCTAGATCCACAGAATGAAACAATGCGAACGAATTCAAACGAATGAAAGGATCAAAGGAGTTTTCATACTGATACACTCGACAGATGTATGAATAAAAATGCCTTGTCTGG